AATAAAAATGTTCATTGTGGTAAACGAAATAATAATTTGATCTAAGTAAGGGTGTTTTTCCCGGTTTGTAAAAATCCTTACGTGATAGAAAAAAAAAGAATATTATTTCCGAAATCTGCGTAGCTGAATTATGGTAAATTTTTTTATTAAAACCAAAACAACTTTTACGAAGTGTAAATTCGCAGGTCTGTGTAATCCTTTAGCTAAGTAGAGTATTTACATAAACATGACTACGTAAATTTTGTTTTTCTAATATAAAAGGATCAAATTCCATTAAGTCATTTGGATGACTTCCATGGTTATAACCATCTTTAACCGCAGATAAAATAAATTTTAATCCTCAAGACAGTTTGATTATTTATGATTACTAATAATGTTGCATATTAAAAAATCTTGCTGTTTTAAGATTCAAAAGTACAAAATTAATTAATAAATTACGTAATATAATACTATTAAATGCGTCTTGACAAGCCATTAACTGAAAAAAAACAACTATAAAGTTTGTTTGTTTAAAGTTAAGCACATAGCTGCACAATGGGCTAAACTGTGCTCTGCCCACCACGGGTATCAAAACCCGGTTTCTAGCGTTGTAAGTCCGCAGACATACCGCTGTGCCACTAGGGGGCAAATTATAAAATACCTATATGTATATGTGTGTGGGTGTAATTAAAATTAGTTGTTAATATTTTACAGTTGTAGTTATCCGTATAATTGAAAAAGATCTGCCAGATGATTAGTTAGATCTCAGAATTTCTGGGCCAAAAGTACGGGGAATAATTAACATCGACTTACTTTAAATCGTACAATACTCTCTGTGATATACGTCACTTCAAAGTTAATCTCTTTAATGCTTTTCTGCACTAGAGGAGTAGAGGACACCTGTTCTAGAAGAAGCGATGATCCCCTGGGCTTGTTAACCTTCGCTTCCTTTAGTTTGTAACCAAACTCGGTCTTCGGAATGAAACACTTCGGAACGTTCTCTTCAAGACTTTCTATCCATTGACAGCCTTTGTTTTCGCATATTTCTTTTGTGTATTCGTCTACAGGAATAGGTTTAGCGTTAATAAGCCTTTGGTTATGGTGTAGAAAAATCTAAACTTACAATTTCCAAGAAAAAAAAGACTGATAATAATTAGATCTGGTCGTTTATTTATTGACCATCTATAAATATACACCTGGAAAAAAGTTAAGCATCCCCGTGTTTTTTTCAAGTGATTCAGATTCGACGTTCTTGTGACTGATTATAAATTACCATTCAATCTAAACGTGTT